CGTCACCCGCCCCCCCCCTCCCCTCCCGCACCAATAGTGGCTATGTATAATCTGCAATTGATTTCTAAATGCGAGACACTATAGAGAGAGGTTGTTCTTTCTTTCTTCTTCTTCCTATTTTTTTTATTTGTTGTTTATTATATTCTCTTCATTTATTCATCTTTGATATTTTTTTCTATTATTCTTTATCATTTATATATGTATATTTTTTGTCTTTTTTCTATTTTGTTTATCTCTCTATTTTTGTTTATAACAGTATTTATTACCTCTATCTGGGTATTCAGACTCTTAGGGTATAATATATCCGATTAGTTACGTCTACTTTAGTTTACTGGTCACTACTCTCACATTATAGTAATTATTTTTTTATTAATGAGGAGGGAGTAAATCATATTTTTGAGTTAATGTGTTATGTTATATGTAATATAGTAGTAAGTAGTGTAGTATTACACTATATAGTATCATTTACTTAAGTGATTTAATAATAACTTTTTGGTAATTTTCTTAAGTAAATTTTTTATTGTAAAATTTTTCGAGTATTATTTTTGGGAATTTTTTATTTTAATATTTTTTTCAGTATTGCCAGAATGGCGGCCATCTTGAATTTCGAGTGGCTACGTTTTAATGAGAGGAGTGACGGTCAAGGGGGATTTGTAGTCACATGTGTAAAGATTTGAAAACGCAGTAATGCCTGCTGCACTATCATGCAGCAAAGAGCATCTGATTGCTGCTTCCTCGCAGCTGACGCCGACCCCCACCCCCACCCCTCTGTGACGTCATGACTTTACTGGCTGTCTGGTTGTTGTTGTTGGCAGCTGGAGACAGGAACAGCGTCGGCCAGCAACGCGGTAGCGTCGCAAAGCACTGCGCAGCGCCGGGAGCGGACAGAGCACGGAGAGCAAACGCACCTCCAACGGACGCTCAACACCACGCCGGTCACCAGTTGGACAACGCCACAAAAGGTACACAAGTACAAGTGTAGTGGACAAAGTGTTAATATATACATATTTTAAAAATCAGCCTTGTAATCCACACTACAGACATTTTAATTAATTTAGTAATTATTTAAAAATAAATGTGTCGCGGAGGATTTTCAGGATCTGAATGTTTAAAAAGTGTGAGAATCTTGTTTTCACTGCTTGCAATGAATCTCGACCTTTCTTTTCTTATTCTTTTAGTTTGTCTGGTTCAAACACCGATCAGCTGTTAGCAGGTGGAGATGCTGGGTTCACAAACCACTATGTTCTGCTCATTGTTGACTCATCTTGGTGTGGCTTCTCTGCTCAGTGACTCAGTGTGTTGTGTGGTGTTGTGTGGTGGTGTGTGTTTGTGTGTGTGTTGTGGTGGTGCAGAGCTGACCGGCCCCCTGCTGCTGATGCTGGACATCAGACCTCTAGTAAACAGCCTGACCATCCTGCAGGGTACAACTACTTTTTACTTTTTTATTAAACATATATTTTCGAATGTTTGTCAGAATATTAGACTTCAGAAACACTAAAACAAAGAATCTTTCCTTTTATATTTTAAAGCTCCAATGTTTCTTCTTTCTGTGTTTTTGATTTGAAGTTGTTGATCCAATCAGAAAATATAAAAACCCATCTCAGTGTAGTTTTACATCTCCTCTCTCAGGCTTCTCTCTGCAGCTCTAGTAACAAACAGGTCGGTGAGCCAATCAGAAGAGAGGAGGCATCTGAGCCTCTCTTCTATTGGCTGACTTGTTTTCTGAGTGAAACAATAAAATATAGAGATTTTCAGGTAAAAACACTCAGAGAAACCAATCAAGGTTTGGTGTTGGTGGGTTTTCCAGGTGGGCGGGGCTTGGTGAGCTGCTTAGTTTGAACATTCACAAAGTTCACAGAGAGTCGCTGACGGCTGGTTTTAAGGCTCAGTTCTGTAATAACAGGCCTGTGTGGATTTCTCTGTGGATGAGGCTTTTGATACCTTCTCAAGTATTAATATAGAAGCTAGACCTGGAATCTATTAAGTCACACTACACATGTGTGTGTGTGCTGAGGTGTAGTTCACCTGCTGACTCTCTGTGATGTCGCTTGGCAAGGTGGGACTTCTCGGAGGCAGGCGGTGAGGTGGCAGAAGACCTGCAGAGGACAGAGCTTCTCTCCAGCCAGTTTGTCCGTCCTCAGCAAGCTTGCTGGAGGGGAAGGTAAGAGGCTGCGGCAACAGACTCTGAATAATGAGTTCATCGTGTCTCTTGGTCTCTGCCGAGCGTCTCATAGTTGTAATGAGCCTCAATGTTGACCACAGTGACCTCAGTCTGTTGCTGTGTGTTCAGGATGGCAGAGAGGCCATCTATCAGTGGCTGGGTGACAATTCCAGCTGGAGCATAACACCGGGAACTTCATCAGCGCTGGTTACGATTAACGACCATGACAGCGAGGCATGACTCCTGAGGTGATGCACACACACGTTATACCACACCTGCATATATTTAACTTCCACACATGAATTTATTGTCTAGTTCCATATAAATATGCTCTGTTTCTGTGTGTAATGCTTATATATGATAGATGTTATGTAGATGTTCAGCCCGCCCAAAGCTAGTATGATAATAATAACATATATAGTCAATAAGTTTATAGTTTATTATATCCCAACCCACAGGTCTGTTAATAATCGTTGATATTATATAATAAAAACTTTACCAGAATGTGAAAATAGACATGTTTAAAATGAATAAGCAGCAACATATATATAACACATAAGAATTACATAGGTAACATATATAATACAAATAAGGCGTAGGCACATATTAAATAAATATATCTAATAATATCAGTGTTGGCAAGCACAGCGGAGGTGTGAGTATTGTAAGTGTGCAGTTCACTGTAGTTGCCGTGTAGATGATAAATGGTGTGGTGGTAACTGACTGACTGACATGACTGACTGACTGCTGAGGACCTGACCTGCATCTGGAGTGACAAACCAGGCCCCCGCAAGAAGATTCATTGAGATCAACGACCGGAACATTGAGGCTGCTGAGTACATCCCAGTAGAGACTCCCAGCTGTTGCATGAACACACTGGTTACGTGATCAGCAGCTGATCTGAGACGTGTTCTTCTCTCTCTCAGTCTGACCTGGTCGAGTGGCTCAGCGCATCGGCCTCTGCAGTACACAAGATAAACTGTCGGAGAACGGCTACGACTCCCATCAGCATCGTCAAAAGGACCTGAGCGTGGGAGGGATCTGCAGGAAGTCGGCATCACCAAAGCTCGGTGAGGGACACGTCAGCATGTTCCACGTTCTGACCCGGTGTGACTGATTCTTACTCGGTGGTGTGATGGGTTGAAATCTTCCTCCGGCCACCAGAAAGAAGCTGATGTTTGGCGTGAAGAAGATGTGCGACAGTCCAGAGAGCGATCCTCCAGGCCGAAGTGCGGATCCAAGGCACGCTTGCGAGCAGGGAGGGGGAGGCCGGGGGGAGGGGGGGGGGGGGGGGGCCCTGCACCTGTGTCACCATCGAGCCGCCCGACCCCTCTGCCAGGGAAGCTCTTCTGTCCGTCAACACCCTTTCCAAGAAAGAAATGCCCCTGACCTTCCAGGACAGCGAGCTGAGCGCCGAGCTGCAGACGGCCATCGGTCCAGCCAGCTACGGAGGCTGCGGACGGTCTGGCCATCAAGAAACGCCGTGGGCATGTCCGCCAGAGCCAGGAAGCATCGACACCCGTACGTCCGAGCTCCGGCCGCTCCAGGAAGCCTCACGACAGCCTCCGTCACGCACACAGGCTGGTCCAGGAGATGCTGACGGACAGCCGCCAAGGAGTAGGAACGCTCCCCGAGGGCTGGGGACCAGAGCTCTGCAGGCAGGCAGCGCGCCGCCCAGCAGGTTCCTCTGGGCACGGCGCACGTGTGATCAGTACCCGCCATCCCGACAAAGCTAACTGTCTGGGTCCGGTGGCCCGCCCCCAAACGGCTCCGCCGGCGCTGAGGGTTTCAGCTACCTGCATTCTCACATGGTGGCTCCACAGACCTGAGCTCGCTCCCCCAAGGTCTGCGGACCACACCTGACCTGACGCCGCCCAAGAAGCGCACCCAGAGCAATGACCGCGCTACGCCCTGTTCGGACCGGAGACTCGCGAGAGGACAGAACGACGAACCGTGCGTCCGGAATGTCGTCCTAACGCCACCCTTAACCCGGCAAGCCGGCGCAGCCATGGCTTGGCCCGACTCCAGTCCAGTCAAGAGAAGAACGGCATAACGTGGGGCGCAGTCATCATTTGCTGTGGCGCGCCCGGAAAAAGGGTCCCTCCTCCCCGCCAAACGAGACTGAGTTCAGTGAAGGCAGCAGCCGCCAGCGGGGAGCCTGAGGACAGCAGCACAACGTCGCCTGGCGGGCCGGGTGCTCACCAACAGTCCGGCAAGCGTGTCAGGAGCATCACCGCTCTCTGAGGGAAACGCAAGACGGAGGAGGCTCCCCTAGGACCAAAACCAAGACCTCATCACCAGGAGCGCTCCCCCTCCCTCACCTCCTTGCAGGCAGGAACCACGGAGGCAGCGGGGGTGAGGAGGAGGGTGCAAGAGCGAGTGTATTCCCACCCACACCACAGCTCCGAGCCGACCGGTGGGGTGAAGTCTGACTCAGAAGGAGGAAGGAATCTAAAGGCGGGGGACTGGAGGATTCCTCGTGCCCCACACAGCAACAGCTCAGTGAGTGCATGCCCCTTCGGCAGAGGAGGGAAACCTGACGCATCAAAACAGAGGCCCAAAGCTCCGGGGGCCCCCCAGGGCCGAGGCCTGTGCTGGAGCCTCGCCAGAGAAAGCAGCAGCCAAGAACCTGGAGTTCCACGTGAGTTCAACCCTGAAGGATCGGACACGGTGAAGCGCCGGACTACAAACCCAAGACTAAGGACGGCCGGAGGGAGGCTCCCCCAGCAGAGAGGGAGCGGGGGCGTCCGGCTCAGAGTCCGGCGGCGGCAGACCTCCGTCCAGAGCCAGGAGGAGGTCAGTCTGAGGAATTCAGTGAGGCCCGGTCTGGAGCGGCCCTCCAGTCCAGTACAGGGTCCCTCCAATCAAGAGCCCCGCTCTCCCGAAACCCTCCACGTCGCCCCAGAGACCAGGTCCGCCAGCAAGTTGCTGGCTCAAACAGGTGAATGGTCACGACAACTCACAAGGTACACACTGTGAACAATCATCACGATGTCAGCATGAATCAAGGAAGTGTCTCCCTCAGTGACAGAGAGGTTAAACCCTTCGTGTTTTTCATTGGTATTCTTCTCTGGATGACTTCCTGTATTCTGAAGTAACATGAAACGTGTGGACTCTTGATTTTGAACTATTTGAATTGATGTGGATTTGACTTTGCACTTGCTGGTCTCGTCTTGTGGTGATTTTACGGTCGTCTCTGTCTCATCAGGACAGCTGTGAGCCTCCTCTCCAGCTGTGACCGTTCAGCAGTGGTTCAAAGCGTGGCCTTCACGTCTCCATCTCCCCGTCCCACGGGCCCTCAGCGTCGCCGGCTCCGCCTGCCACCTCCGGCTCCGGCTCCGGCTCCGGCTCGCTCCGGCTCCGGCTCGGCTCCGGGGCTCTGAGGCTTGGCTCGGCCCCTCAGGTCCCTCTCTGGCAGCTAGCGAGGCCTCAGAGGTGTGTGTGGTGGGTCCAGTTTCTCGTCCTGAGGCTTTCCTGTGGGACTGAGGTGGTTCAAGCAGAGACTGGATGCAGACCAGCACGTCTTTGGAATAGCAGGCTTGTAGGCGTGGAGAGGATACTGGATGGACGCTCAGATTGGGTAAGAACCATCAGGTGTTTTTGAACGGGGACAGGAATCCAGGAAATGTTCTTGAATAAATAATGTATTGATAAACAGTTGGGATTAAAATCTGAATGTATTTATTGGATGGATAATTGTTCATTTATAAATTCTTCTTACAATTCCCTTGTTTTTAAAGTATGAAATTAAGGAAAGTGTTCAGTCTACTTTTCTGCGTGCTCATAACGTTAATCCTTCAAATAAAGGCAATATGAACTCGTGAACCCTTCGTCAACGAGCTCCACTCGCTCAGTGTGGACATTATAGTATTTATGAGAACCTTTAATCATCCGGCGATTAAGTAGATTAAGTAAAAATATTAGTCATATCATTAGTCATGATAATGTTCTTTAAAAAACATTTTGAATGATATTACCAAAAATGTAAATAAGAAATATCTTCGAGAACTGAGTAAATGTGCCTTCATCTTTTCCAACCAGCGGCGGTGAGCACGGTGGAAGTCTGCGGGACCATCCTGGGACGACATCGCAACATGTTCGACAGACCTGGCGACCACTGGACGCCATGTTGGACTGGTCCCCTCCCCTCCCCTCCCCCCATAGTGCCGCAGATCACTGCAATAATATTTCATATATGGACACAAGCACCACAATTGGTATGTTTCTCCTTCTGGGGCCATTCATTTGAAAAACCCCATTAGCCACTTGAAATTTCAACATTTCAAGATGGCCGCCATTTCTGACACATGAAACAGAATTTTACCCACGGGACAGATTTCAGTGATTTCGCAATATAATCCTGTTTAAGACTCTGTCAACAGTCTACTGGTTCACTACTCTCCACATTATTAGTAATAATTTATTTTATATAATAAATTAAATAAACTAATTTTGAGTAATTTTTTGTGAGTAATTTGTTAATATAGTAGTAATTTAGTGTAGTATTACTACTATATAGTACTATACAGTGATTTAATAATAACTTTGTAATTTTCTTAAGTAATATTGTTTATTGTAAAATTTTTCGAGTAATATTTTTGGGGAATTTTTATTTAATATTTTTTTGTCAGTATTGACCAGAAATGGCGGCCATCTTGAATTTTCGAGTGGCTAACGTTTTATTAAAGAGTGACGGTCAAGGGGGATTTGTATCCACATGTGAAAGATTTGAAGCAGTAATCTGCTGCACTATCAGCAGCAAAGAGCATCTGATCTGCTGCTTCCTCCAGCCTGACGCCGAACCCCCCACCCCCACCCCTCTGTGACGTCATGACTTTACTGCTGTCGTTGTTGTTGTTGCAGCTGGAGACAGGAACAGCGTCGGCAGCACAGGTAGCGTCGGCAGCACGCGCAGCGCCGGGAGCGGACAGAGCACGGAGAGCAACAACGCACCCAACGGACTGCAACACCACGCCGGTCACCATGACAACGCCAACAAGGTACACAAGTACAGTGTAGTGACAAAGTGTTAATATATACATTTTAAAATCAGCCTTGTAATCCAACTACAGACATTTTAATTAATTTAGTAATTATTTAAAAATAAATGTGTCGCGGGATTTTCCAGGATCTGAAGTTTAAAAAGTGTAAAATCTTGTTTTCCTGCTGCATGAATCCGACTTTCTTTCATTCTTTAGTTTGTCTGGTTCAAACACCGATCAGCTGTTAGCAGGTGGAGATGCTGCGGTTCACAAACACAATGTTCTGCTCATTTCTTGTTGTGACCTCACACCTGCTGGTTGTGGCTCCTGCTCAGTGACTCAGTGTGTTGTTGGTGTGTGTGTGTGTGTGTGTGTGTGTTTGTGTGTGCAGGTGGCGCCCCCTGCTGCTGATGCTGGACACTCAGACCTCAGTAAACAGCCTGACCATCCTGCAGGTACACTACCTTTTACTTTTCTTTATTAAACATATATTTAGAATCGTTTGTCAGAATATTAGACTCAGAAACACTAAAACAAAGAATCTTTCTTTCATATTTTTAAAGCTCCATGTTTCTTCTTCTGTGTTTTATTTGAAGTGTTGATCCATCAGAAAATATAAAAACCATCTCAGTGTAGTTTTACATCTCCTCTCTCAGGCTTCTCTCTGGAGCTCTAGTAACAACAGGTCGGTGAGCCAATCAGAAGAGAGGAGGCTCTGAGCCTCTCTTCTGATTGGCTGACTGTTTTCTGAGTGAAACAATAAAAATATAGCAGATTTCAGGTAAAAACACTCAGAGAAACCAAATCAAGGTTTGGTTGGTGGGTCCAGGTGGGCGGGGCTTGGTGACTGCTTTGTTGTGACATCACAAAGTTCCAGAAGTCCTGACGGCTGGTTTTAAGGCTCAGTTTCTGAATACAGGCTGTGTGCATTTCTCTGTGGACTGAGGCTTTGATACTTTCACAGTATTAATATAGAAGCTAGACCTGGTCTATAATCACACTACACATGTGTGTGTGTGTGAGGTGAGTTCACCTGCTGAGCTCTGCTGTGATGTCACTGCAGGTGGGACTCCTCGGAGGCAGGCGGTGACGGTGCAGAGACCTGCAGAGCAGAGCTTCTCCCAGCAGTTTGTCCGTCCTCAGCAGCTGTTGGAGGGGAAGGTAAAGAGCTGCGCACAGACCTGAATAAAGAGTTCATCGTGTCCTCTTGTCTCTGCTGAGCGTCTCATGTTGTATGAGCCTCATGTTGACCCACAGTGACCTCAGTGTGTTGCTGTGTGTTCAGGATGCAGAGGCCATCTATCAGTGGCTGGGTGACTTCCAGCTGGAGCAGTACACCGGGAACTTCATCAGCGCTGGTTACGATGTACCGACCATCAGCAGGATGACTCCTGAGGTGAGCACACACACGTTATACACACCTGCATATATTTAACTTCCACACATGAATTATATGTCTAGTCCATATAAATATGTCTGTTTCTGTGTGTATGCTTATATAGATAGATGTTATGTAGATGTCCAGCAGCTAGTAATGATAATAATAAACAATAATAGTTCAATAGTTTATAGTTTATATATCCACCCCACAGTCTGTTAATATATGTTGATATTATATAATAAACTTTACCAGAATGTGAAGATAGACATGTTTAAAATGAATAAGCACAACATATATAAACACATAGAATTACATAGTAACATATATATACAATAAGCGTAGCACATATAAATTAAATATATCTATATATCTGTCGGCAGCACAGCGGAGGTGTGAGGTTGTAAGTGTGCAGTTCACTGTAGTTGCGTGTAGATGATAAATGTGTGGTGGTAACTGACTGACTGACTGACTGACTGACTGCTGCAGGACCTGACTGCCATCGGAGTGACCAAACCAGGCCACCGCAAGAAGATTTCCATTGAGATCAACAACCTGAACATCCCTGAGTGGCTGCCTGAGTACATCCCAGTAAGACTCCCAGCTGCTGCATGAACACACTGGTTTACTGTGACAGCAGCTGATCTGACTGACGTGTTCTCTCTCTCTCTCAGTCTGACCTGGTCGAGTGGCTCAGCGCCATCGGCCTCCCGCAGTACCACAAGAAACTGTCGGAGAACGGCTACGACTCCATCAGCATCGTCAAAGACCTGACGTGGGAGGATCTGCAGGAGATCGGCATCACCAAGCTCGGTGAGGACACGTCACATGTTCACGTTCTGACCCGGTGTGACTGATTCTTACTGTGGTGTGATGGTTGAATCTTCCCCCCAGGCCACCAGAAGAAGCTGATGTTGGCGGTGAAGAAGCTGTGCGACATCCAGAGAGCGATCCTCCAGGCCGAATCGGACCAAGGCACGCTGCGACGCAAAGGCCCCGGAGCCCTGCACCTGGTCACCATCGAGCCGCCCGACCCCGCCGGTGAGAGCTCTTCTCCTCACACCCCGAAGATGCTGACCTTCCAGGACAGCGAGCTGAGCGCCGAGCTGCAGACGGCCATGTCCAGCCACTACGGAGGCTGCGAGGACGGTCTGGCCATCAAGAACGCCGTGGGCATGTCCCAGAGCCAGGAGAGCATCGACACCCGGTCCCGAGGCTCCGGCCGCTCCCAGGAGCCTCCGACAGCCTCCGTCACGCCACACAGCTGGTCCCAGGAGAGTCTGGACGGCAGCCCCGCCAAGGAGAGGAACCTCCCCGAGGGCTGGGACCAGAGGCCTCTGCAGCAGCAGCCGCCGCCCAAGCAGGTTCCTCTGGGCACGGCCACGGTGTTCAAGTACCCGGCCATCCCGACCAAGCCCAAACTGTCTGGGTCCGGTGGCCCCTCCCCCCACGGCTCCCCGGCGCTGAAGGGTTTCAGCTACCTGCATTCTCACTGTGGCTCCACAGACCTGAGCTCCTCCCCCAGGTCTGCGGACCACACCCTGACCCTGACGCCGCCCAAGAAGCGCACCCAGAGCATGACCCGCTACGCCCTGTCGGACGGAGAACCCGACGAGGACGACGACGAACCCGCGTCCGGGAACCTGTCGTCCTACGCCACCTTAACCCGCAAGCCGGGCCGCAGCCAGCTGGCCCGACTCCAGTCCAGTCCAGAGAAGAACGGCAACGTGGGGCGCAGTCAGTCATTTGCTGTGCGCGCCCGGAAAAAGGGTCCCCCTCCTCCCCCGCCAAAGAGACTGAGTTCAGTGAGCAGCACCGCCAGCGGGGAGCTGAGCGACAGCAGCACCACGTCGCCTGGCGGCCGGGTGCTCACCAACAGTCCCGGCAGCGTCAGGAGCATCACCGCCTCTCTGGAGGGAAACGCAGACGGGAGGAGCTCCCTAGGACCAAAACCAGACCTCATCCACCAGGAGCCGCCTCCCCCCTCCCTCACCTCTGCAGAGCAGGAACCCAGGGAGGCAGCGGGGGTGAGGAGGAGGGTGCAGAGCGAGTGTATTCCCACCCACACCAGCTCCGAGCCGGACCGGGGGGTGAAGTCTGACTCAGAGGAGGAGGAATCTAAAGGTCGGGGACTGGAGGGATCCTCGTCCCCCCACAACAGCTCCAGTGAGTGCATCCCCTTCGCAGAGGAGGGAAACCTGACCATCAAACAGAGGCCCAAAGCTCCGGGGCCCCCCAGGGCCGAGGCCGTGCTGGAGCCTCCAGAGAAAGCAGCAGCCAAGAACCTGGAGGTTCCCGAGTTCAACCTGAAGGAGTCGGACACGGTGAAGCGCCGACACAAACCCAAAGACAAGGAGGCGGGAGGAGGCTCCCCCAGCAGAGAGGGAGCGGGGGCGTCCGGCTCAGAGTCCGGCGGCAGCAGACCTCCGTCCCAGAGCCAGGAGGAGGTCAGTCTGAGGATCAGTGAGGCCGGTCTGGAGCGGCCCTCCAGTCCAGCTACAGGGTCCCCCATCAAACCCCCGCTCTCCCCGAAACCTCCCACTGTCGCCCCCAAACCAGTCCGCCACAGTCTGCTGGCTGCACAAGGTAAGGTCCACACACCTCACAGGTACACACTGTGACATCATCACGATGTCAGCATGAATCAGGAAGTGTCTCCTCAGTGACAGGAGAGGTTCAAACCCTTCGTGGTTTTTCATTGGTATTTTCTCTGATGACTTCCTGTATCTGAAGGTAACCATGGAAACGTGTGGACTCTTGATTTTGAACTATTTGAATTTGATGTGGACTTTGACTTTGCACTTGCTGGTCTCGTCTTGTGGTGTTTTACCTGTCGTCTCTGTCTCATCAGCAGCTGGACCCTCCTCTCCAGCTGTGACCGTCAGCGTGGTTCAAAGCGTGGCCTTCACGTCTCCATCCTCCCCGTCCCACGGGCCCTCAGCTCCGGCTCCGCCTCCACCTCCGGCTCCGGCTCCGGCTCCGGCTCCGGCTCCGGCTCCGGCTCCGGCTCCGGCTCCGGCTCTGACCTCGGCCCCTCAGAGTCCCTCTCTGGCAGCAGCGAGGCCTCAGGTGTGTGTGGTGGGTCCAGGTCTCGTCCCTGAGGCTTCCTGTGGGACTGAGGTGGTTCAGCAGAGACTGGATCAGACCAGCACGTCTCTGGAAGCAGCTCTGAAGGCGGTGGAGAGGAAACTGGAGGACGACTCAGATGGGTAAGACCATCAGGTGGTTGTTTGAAGAAGGAATCCAGGAATGTTCTTGAATAAATAAATGTATGTATAAACAGTTGATTTAAAATCTGAAGTATTTATTGATGGATTAATTGTTCATTTATAAATTCTTCTTACAATTCCTGTTTTTAAAGTATGAAATTAAGGAAGTGCTTCATTACTTTTCCTGCTGCTCCAAACGTTAATCCTTCAAATAAAGCAATATGAACTCGTGACCCTTCGTCACAGCTGATGCTCAGTGTGGACATTATAGTATTTATAGACTTTAATCATCCTGCGATTGTAGATTTAAAGTAAAAATATTAGTCATATCATTAGTAATGATAATGTCTTTAAAACATTTTGAAATGATCATTCAAAAAATGTAAATAAGAAATATCCTGAGAAGCTGAGTAATGTGCCTTCATCTCTTTCCACACCAGCGGCGTGAGCACGGTGAAGTCTGCCGGGACCATCCTGGACGACATCGGCAACATGTTCGACGACCTGGCCGACCAGCTGGACGCCATGTTGGACTGAAGAGCGACGCCTCCACAACAAAACATTCTGCTTCAACCTCAGGAAGTGAAACACAGGAGGAGAGAAAGGGGAGGATGGAGGGATGATGGAGGGATATCACCTCCGGTGTTTTACCCCCCGATACTGAACTCCGCGGTCACGACGGAGGAGGAGGAGGAGGAGTCAGATACTTGTTTGTCAGTGTGAACACCAGCTCTTCGTCTCCACTGTGCTTCCTCCACCAGACTGAATCTGTTCCTGTGTGGACGTCAGACCTCCTCAACCCTTGTGTCGTGTCTCAGACGTGAAGCAAACACAGAGACAGAAGCTGGACCAGCAGAATATCCTCAGCCCACTGTGAGGAGACGCTCCTGAGCAGATCATCATTATTATTATTATGATTATTGTTAAACACTAATATTGTAACATGAAGTTTTATGATTCTGACATTTTAGAGAGCTGAAGACCTGACGTCACTTCCTGTTTCAGTCGGATACTCTAAGATAAATGAGGATGTAATAGTAGAAGTTAAAACCCTCGGGTTTTAAAGCAACTATCATCAATATTAATTATGAACAATGGATCACATGACTGTGTTTCCTGAAGGAGTTTCAGTTTCCTGCAGCTCCACGGAGCCTCTTAGCTCCTTTTAGCTCCTGGTTTTGGTTCCCTGTCATTTTCCCTCAGGAGCTGGTGGAGACCAAACACAGAGTTAAAACAGAGGGAACACTGGACTGAGATCATTAATTCAAAGCTGCATCTGTGTGTTTATTAAGCCCTTTTCCCGCTGGTCAAAGAACACACTCAGACCCTTTTGTTGTCAATGGAAAAAGAGTCAAACAATTTTTATCAGGAGGTTTAAATAATCAGCTTATACCTGCTAATTTTGGTGGGAAAAGGGCGACTGTTGTTTATGGTGCTGTTGACCGGTGTTGTGTTTAATTGCTGCGCGGAAACGTCAGATCTAGTGAAAACTAGGCCGGACAGGCACAGAACAGCACTGTGAGCAGATCTGTTCAATGATAGAAAACCCTGTTGGTTAAAATTTTATTTGATCATATTGTAAGTTTTTGTTCAAAGGCAGAACTTTTAATCCTCTATGTTGTTTTTCAACAGAACCGGGACGGTCGGGTCTCACTTCAGCTCTCTATTCAACATGTCTGGCCATTTCAAATTTTACATTTGTAATATTTAAAAAGAAAAAAGTCTATTTTATACCAAGTGATATTAACCATATGTAGTTAGTCTTCCACTCGGCTCGGTGCCGGTTTGTGCGTCAGACCTTTTCTACAGATTTGTGTGTGTGTGTTCATGAAGCTACAGGAAGCTGTAAAACTGATGCTCGTTGGAACTGTTTCTACAAAGGGAAGAGAAGCACGTTCAGCTCGTTTCACATCGTATGTACAGTGGAAGACGGCATGTGACATGTCAGTAATATACATACTATTTTTTGATATTCATTTTAGCCAAATTAGTATTTAAATTAGAGTTATCTAAATGTGTATAATGTACACTAGAAGTATATACAGGAGCAGGTATTCAACCAAAGGTCTTTGTACAGATTCTCCTCAGATATTTTCACAAACGTTTCCTTTAAAGAAAACAGACTCCTTAGCTCCTGCCCTCCTCGTTACTGTAAGATGTTGATGAACTGTTGCCCTGGTGTCCAGCCTGCAGCATATGGACAAAGTCTCCATATTTAGCATGCCACAGCTCGATTTGATCATGTTTCATTCGTGAAAAAGATCGTTAACCCCGGTGTGTCTGGTTTCTGTGTCTGTGATCATGTGACTTCTGTGTGAATGAGATGCTCTCTGATGGATTTTCTTTATCTCTGAGTCTCAGGAAAATCCCCCCCTGGACCTGAACGCGTCGTCCTGGTCACAGTATGGAAGATTTAAAAAGCTGTATTAAAAAGAAATCAAACAATACACAAATATATTTCTTTACATTATTTATATTATTATATTATTAAACGAAAAACAGTTGCTAAAAGAAAAGTATTTTTAAATTACTTTTCTGTGCTGCATAAAAAAATAAAATCAGAAGAACGAAAATCTAATATATTGTAATATTTCATTGCTGCCCAGCAGAGGGCAGAGACAACTCTCCCAGTACTGAATCCTAGTATTGCTGTTAGTTTTCATATGGAGGTAAAGAGAGGTGTTTGTTTTTGGGAGGCACTTTCATCATGCCGAACAGCCTGGGACCAGACCTTACAGGAAATGTATATAACAATGTGTAATAAAATAAATAAATCAAATCTAATTTATAAAACGCCAGGGTAACAAAGTGTTTTATATCAAACATCCAGCTGTTGGTCTCCTTAAGACCAGAAATGTAGGCTACATTATAATGAGCTACAGGAACCTCGGAGGACCCAGGATGGACCCCTGAGGAACTCCAAAGTCAAACAAATGTAATCTGACAGTGTCAACAGTGGGCAGATAAACAGACAGAAGTATTGATTAGATAAATAGAAGGAAAACAATTCAAGTGCTATATTGTATCATGGGGTTTCTTTGGTTTCTTTTTAAGTAGGCATTTTAAATATTTCATACACAGTGGCTGGCGGTCAAGGACTGGTAGCAGCTTCGGGGTTAACTACAGTCTGCAAATCCACATTCCATAAATGTGATGTTTTCAAACCAAAACATATAAAATGTTTAAATTTTCTTCCTTTGTCTCTTCATCAGCATCGAAAAACCAGAAAAAGTCAAAAAGCCATGAAAATATTAATGAAAATATAATCAGTCAGACTGCAACATGTTGGAAGTGGATGATGATGTGTGTGTGTGTGTGTGTGTGTGTGTGTGTGTGTGTGTGTGTGTGTGTGTGTGTGTGTGTTATTTTGATATCTCCTGTTGTTTTGGTGCTCTGTCCTCTCGGCTGTATTGTTTGTTTAACCATTAAATATCTATAATGTTCCTCTGGTCGTGTGTTTTTGCTACAACTCTTTACTGAAAAGAAACTATTGGCAGCAAATCAACGGTCTCCATGGAAACAGTAGAATTTTACCGCTGTAAAATCTTTCACTGCTGTAAATTACTTAAGTCTTTTGCTTAACTTAAAAGTACTTCTTGTAGTTAGAGTGTCAAAGTAGAAATATTTCCTGTAGTTACATTATCACAGTAAAAGTACTTCCTGTAGTTACATTATCACAGTAAAAGTACTTCATTGTGTAGTAAACTGTCCCCTGTGACTGATCTCAGATCATTAATCCTGAGTCATCGATGCTTCAGCAGCATTTTACTGTTGTTGCTGCTCCAGGTGGAGCTGCTTTAACTACATCATGTACACTAATATAGTTCAGTCCACTGGTTCCCAACCTGAGGGTCGAGCCCCTCCAAAGGGTCACCAGATAAATCTGAGGGGTTGTCATGATTCATTGGAGAAAAAGAAAAAAAACAAAAACCCTGAGTCACTGACCTGGATTCAGTTTTAGCTCTAACAGTAATTAAAATGAAACCATGGGAGAAGCTCAGAGGTGGAACTGCTAAAGATATTGATTTTATATGGGGAAGAAATTGGGAGCCACTTGTTCAATCTTTAATAATATATTGTATAACATAAGTTTGTAAAATTACTTGTAATAAAAAAAATCTTATTCTGAAAATAAACTGTACCTATCCCATACATACAGTGGTACAGAACATACAGAAAGTCATGCATCTGTCCGCACAGCTGCACTACCACCATGGACCAGCAGGAGTCGCCATTTCACCTCATCGACACTTCAGAGCGCCGCCGCCTTCAAAAGGTATTTCACCCACGTCAGTACAACATGTTTAACGTAAGTACTGAGGATCACATCTGTTATCACTGATTGTGTTGGTGTTTACAGACCTATACATCAGGTACATACCATGTACCTGTGACGCAGCTCTGCACCAGTCAAGTCGGTAAACCACGTGACCGCCGGCCACTTCTTTCCGGGATCACAACAGCGTCTACGCCCACTAAATTACTGTGCAGCTGTTTTCATGTTTTCCCTGGAAGCAGCAGTTTAACCACGGTCTGAACGTCATCCAGGATCAGACCCGAGCTGCCTGCCTGTCTCCCGCCGCTGCTGCGTCTCACAGGGACGAGGTAAGAGCCTTGGACCTGACGCTGCAGAACTCCACGCTGAAATCTTCCGTTTTTAAACTTGCTCCCTTATTGGCAAAGATTCACGCCTGATGAAACACAACTAAAGATGTTTTTCAGATTATTGACACTCAAACTTCAGATCGGCATAAATCTGATACACCGAGTAGCACTTTATTTAACAGTATCTCAACTTTTACAACTGCTTGTCGTCTGATATCCAGCGCTCTTACAGCAATATCAAGCTAGCGTCAGTCTGTGGAGTGAAGAGATTTATGAAGGTGTGGTTCAGAATAACCTGAAACCAGGAATACTAGGTGTTTATTAATGGACGCCGTAGTCAACACAGTTTCCTATTAATTACAAAAATACCATGACTGATGTTCTACCAAGTGTGTACTGTGCATAACAAGAAAATGACAGAAATTTAGAGGATTTGTAATGGGAGTTTGGTGTTGTTTTCTTTACTAAGTGAACAAGTTGTCCAGGTTGTCTCCAGGAAGTTGGCTCCTCGAGTTACCTCGCATGTTATTCCAGCTGCCAGGCCTACTGTATGGGCCCGACCTGGATAATGCAGAGCTGTTGGAACAGATTCATGTTGTTGAAAAACCAGATTCATGCTGCTGATGGTTAAATCTTTTTATAGCTTTACCTGAAAACAGTAGTGGGGTATTTCCAATTTGGTTAATGTGCCACATGTTCCACTTCTGCATTGTGTGTTTTTATTGGATGGCCTCTTTCTAATGGCCTCATATTTCAAACATGACTCACATCACTTGTTAAATGTTGCCTGATCTGTAACTTAAAACCCAAACCTGCAACATAGCTGACAATCTCAAAGTCTCAGAAGTTTAACCCCATAAGTGCTTTTAATTAAAGCTCCATATTTTCTTCTTCGCCTGTGTTTCACTTGAAGTGTTGAAGATATAAAAACCATCTCAGTGTAGTTTTACATCTCCTCTGTCAGGCTTCTCTCTGGAGCTCTAGTGAGCCAATCAGAAGAGAGGAGGCTCTGAGCCTATTTATTTATAATAATCTTCATTACTTCCTTCTTTTCTTGTTCCCTCATTGTGTTACTTTGTTTATTTAAACCCTTTGTTTTAACTGAGTCAGCTCCACACTTAGTGTTTGCTGTTATTTGAATGAACTAAGTTTTGCAGGTTTCTCCAAAAGAACACAATAAATCCTGCATATTTTTTTTTTTATGTTTTAGTCATTTTAAATTTTGCAGGACACTGTCTCCTTTGTTGCTCTCAGTGTTTCATAATCCACTGCAGGCCGTTGTTTAATGGAGCGTTCATGAGGTTCTGATGAAGGCGAGGTGAACTCAATGTGTAACAACGAGGCGACACAATAAAAACTAATAGGATTAACTCATGATCTGACTTGAGTGTGGTGTGTTCAGGTGCTTCAGGTGGATATACACTCAGTGTCCAGTTTATTAGGTCCACAAAACGTAGACTAGTTCAGTTCAATGCAGCTGTTCTACATAATGTTTAATAGCATGATTCAGCTTTATGTTTGTTTTGGAGGATGTGCCCCCACCGACATGTTTCTCTGGAATATTTCTCTCCATCACTCGATGAATGATTGAACCTGTGACATGAAAGACGCTTGTTTTAATTCGCCCCTGCTGAAGTTGGCGGTGGTCGTGTCACATGACTCATCAGTCATGTTTTCATTTTGTTTTTACACATTCACATAGTAACGTTGACAGTTTACCTGAAGCTTATCTGAGGTCAGTTCATCATTCAGTAGACTTTGTCCTGAGTGTGGTGTCTTTGTGTCGTAGGTGTGTCTGTGTTCATACCTGAGCTTCAGTAGCTGGTGTTCGTCTCGTCAAAGGTTCATTCACTTCACATCAAGTTCGTCTAGAAAAGTCACTTTTCTTCCAGCGTTCACAAACACGTCGACTTGACAAAGAGCTGAGTTCAGTCAACAGCAGCTCCTTCTCCTTAATCCCTGAACTCTGAGTGACGTTTCTTCACTCTGGAGTTTCGTGTCATGAGACATTTTCTCTAAAGAAGCTGATGTGACTCCTGAACATGATTTTCCACAAAGTCTTTTTTTAACCAAAGAAGCGGAAGTTGTCAAATATTGTCTGAAATAAAATTAGTAAATTCGGTTCATCCTCGGCTCCAGCGATATCCAAGATTAATGGATGGGGGGTTATATAATATATATAATAATGTAATTATATTTTATGTTTCAGGTGTAAATGATGCTGCCACTAAACAGCAGTTTTATTTGTCACATGCCAAAATACAAACAATAAAGCTGTGAAATGAGGGTCGGACTCGGCAGCCGGCTCAAAACCGCAAAAGAAAAAATGTCCTTTTTAGTCGATATTATGAAAAATATCGCATATGGTGGGAAATATCGCGATATCAAAAAATTCTAAAATCGAAAATTCTATATTATTGAATATCGAAAATAAGAAAATCAGAGGAGACTGCAAAACTGGGAAAAATGATTAATTATTTACTATTTATCTTTTCAATATTATGAAAAATCACAATATCAAAAATTCAAAAACTGGATATTCAACATTATTCAATATTATATTAATATTTGATACTTCAAATATCAATATATGATTTTGAATATGAACGTTTGATATTTTGAACATCCTCACTGTGTGTTTAATCTTACCAGGTACATACAGGTGTCACAGAGATGATGTTAGTATTTACTTCACATTTTCTTCCTTGTCTGTTTTCTGTAGAAACACACACATACGAGGTTTCCTGGTGCCACCAACAGACCTTCTGCTCTCTGCAGTGTTTAGTTCAGACCATGTCGAAGAAAGGAGGAAACCATGGGCCCGAGTTCGAGGGGCTGGTGGAGGCGTCCATCATCCGGATCCCACCTCATCATTACATCCATGTACTGGACCAGAACACCAACATCGCCCGGGTGGAGATTGGACCGCTCACCTACATCCGCCAGGACAACGAGAGGTCAGTGAGAGTCGAGAGTCGCTCTTCAAGTCCAAATCTGAAGTCCAGTGTGGAATTAGGCTTGTTGGATTTTATGTCTCAGGTATAAGTGATGCTGCCACTAAACAGCAGATCAATGTTCTGTAACATGTCAAGGTACAAGAAAACAAAAAGAAAAAAAAAAATTCAATATGAAAAATATACATTATGTACGGAGGAGAGACGTCACAGGAAAAGTAATGAAGCATTTCCTTAATTTCATATTAAAAAAAAAAAAAAGGAATGGTAAAATGAATTTATAAATGAAGATTAATCCATCAATAGATACTTCAGATTTAAAAACTGGATTTACAAAAACAACATAAAACGCTCATTTATTAAAACATTTATTAATTCATGAATAAATAATAGAATTTGAAAAACTATTTTAAAAGAAATTTTGAAAAATGGGAACACATTCCTGGATTCAATCTTTAATTTCCATTTACAGCTGCTTTTCCTGTTGGCTAATCGCTTAGCTTCTTCATTGAGGCTTCAGCGCTGGTAAAAACCCTTTTTATATTCAGTCTATGGATATGATATGACTGGTTAGCTCTCCAACCAATCAGAGAGCTTTTTGGGATTGTTAAACGTGTTGATGGATTAATTGTTCATTTATAAACTCTAATTACAATTCCTATTTTTAACACCTATTAGAATATGAAATCAAGGAAGTGCTTTATTACTTTCCCTGCGACATCCCTGGTCCTCCGTAATATGGTGGGAAATATCACGGTATTCGATATTATCAAGTATCGGCCCAAGTCTTTGCACGTTTACTCCGGACATTTAGGTTGTTGTTGTTGGAACCTGAAGAGGAAACAGTTGAGGCTTTTAGTCTTAATCCCACTTCCCCTCAGGTCTCTGCTGCGGCTTTTCAAGTGATCACGTGCTGCTGCCAGTTCATTTCCTGACTGACTGAGAGTGTCTCATCAACATGGGTCTAATAATCCCAGAGCACTGACACTCTCCTCTTCACATCCATACACAGATATTTACTGTGTGTTGAAAACTTTTTACATATACTGGCAAAAAGTGGAACAGTTTCACTCTAGCAGCAGCCAAGGTCTGAAGATGGCAGTTTAATATCCACAGAAACAGCGGGATGGAAGCGAACTCGCAGCGACTGTAGTACAACCGACATGCAAATAGACGCCATATCTCAGTAACCAAATGTATCCCACAGATGACAGTGGTGACAGTCGTAGCTCAGATAACTGGTCACTCCGATGTTCCAGATGTGATGCAGACTCCAGGTGGAGCTCGCAGGACTTCAGACCTTCAGTCACGTGATTGAGCCACATGATTAAAATGTGCAGACTGAGCTGAGAAGCTGCTGATTGTTTCTGTTTGTCTAAAGGAAACATTCATTCCTCACTGACAGAGAACGGCTGAGCAGATCTTTTGTCTCATTGTGTCACAACGACTAACGTGGGCGCACACACACACACACACACACACACACACACACACACACACACACACACACACACACACACAGAAAGCATCACTGTAAGCAAATCACGTGACTGAGGATTAATTTCGTTATTGATTAGGCCAGATACAGTCACTGTAGAGGAATCATGTGATTTAAATGCTTCATGAGGTGAAGTAGGTTTTCTCTCTTCCAGGCACAGATACTCTCTGTTTAAATGCTTTTCATTGACTACAGCTCCAGGTCACATAATGATCATGATTCATTTGCTAAAAGTAAAAACCATCAGTTTTGAGGACCAGACTTTCATCTATAATAATGAGCTCTCCATATTCTGAAGGAAACCTGCACAGGATGAAACTGTTTTACAGTTTTATACTAAAGTTATTGTAATAGTTAATGTTTTGAGGAGAATTAAGTTAAAAGTGCGTCTGAAGAGCGGCTCAGTTTAATGTCAGTTTGTTGCAGGGGTTGGATTCACTAAATGGTAAATGACCTGCACTTATGTGGAGCTGTTCTAGTTCTTATCGACCACTCAAAGCGCTTTATAATAAAAGTCACACTCACACATTCACACACCGATGATGCATCAAGGGGCAATTTGGGGTTCAGTATCTTCTCCTCATAATGCAGACCCGAGGGACCAGGAATCGAACCACCGACCTTCTGATTAGTGGACGAGCCACTCCACACCTCCTGAGTCACAGCCTCCAAAAATCTTTGAAATTTTTCAAATACAAAATACTGATTAAAGAGCAGTGATTTGATTTATTCTTTTAGGGTTTAGGGACAGTTTATCAGCTCAGTCACATCCTGCTGACGTCCCTCTGTAGCTGCTGCTGCAGTGTAAAGAATGGCATCATCTGCATACAGGTAGATTCTGCTCTGAATCAGCTGCATCGTGAGCCTGTTAGTTTTCTATATATGCAGAACATCAGTGGCCCGAGCAGGTGTGTCTGTGGCCTCAGCTTTTTATTGTTTTATTTTAGTGTTTTCAGCAGTAATAAAAACTTTTCAAGTCATAGAAAAATACTTGATTTTCTGTCATGATTGTTCATTTTGTTGAATATGTTGAATTCATTGTTTAGTTTATAAAATGTAATAAATCCAATTTTGAAAAACGTCACCCCAAAAAAACAAGACTTATTTTAAAAAAACAACAAAAGGAGAAAATCAATACATAATCAATATGTGTGTCATGTCAAATTCTCCTGTTTCTCTCCCAGAGTGCTCTTCCCACCTGTTCGTATGATCATGGTGCCGCCCCGTCACTACTGCGTTGTCCTCAACCCCGTGTCCCGCGACGACAACGGTCAGGTCCTCTTTGACCAATCAGGTCAGGCCAAGCTCCGCCACGCCGACCTGGAGATCCGTCTGACCCAGGATCCGTTCCCCCTGTACCCCGGAGAGGAGGTCCAGCAGGTGTGTATGAAACCCTGTGTACCCTATATGACCACATCAGTCAAACCCACTGTAACTGCTGCATTCGGCCACTTTATTAGGAACACCTAATGTTTTTCTTTCTGTTGATACGTTGGAGTTCGTTAGTGATGGTGTTGTACAGGACTGCAGGTGTTTCTAATGTTTCTACTGTCATTTACACACATGACAGGTGCAGAAAAATAGAAACCATCGCCTTTAATTTAACAAGGTCAATTCACATATGACGCATGTGTTTAAAGATGTGTTAAATATAAAGTGTATGTACATAAACTGCACACGTTTCACTGTAAAACAGGAAACACCATCATTAAAGTTATTATTGTTGTTTTAATCCATTTAGCAGATAAAATCAACTCATGTTTTGTATTTTAGTGTCTTTCAGCAGTAATTTTCAGTCTGTTGAATATTTTGAATTAATTTTTTTTTTTTATCACAAGTTCCCAGATGTCAGTGTGATGTCATGCTGTTTCCTGTTTTGTGAGATTAAAAACACAAAACATTTAAATAATATAAAAAAAAACAAAAACAACAAAAGCAGAAAATCAATACATAATCAATATGTGTGTCATGTTATGATAAAATATTTAAAGCAAAAAATACAGCTGCACAATTATTCAAAATATAATGGAAAGCTCATTATGGCAAAGTGCAATATTCAAATCACAGGAGCCGTTATTTTTTTCATGAAGATAAAATGTGTCACATTGTTGAGCATTAGCATTGTTAGCATTAGCATTGTTAGCATCATCAGTGTTGTGGTGCTGCAGAGACGTCCCGACATACGGATCATATTCTCCGGACATGAAGGAACATGATTGTTTGGTACAAGAACCAACAAAAATCACATCATCATCATTTTAAATATTTTTCAGTGAAAATGAAAAAACGATTATTCCAACTGAAATCACAATATCTGCCAAAATAACCGCAATATGTTTGTGTGCAGCTCTAGCCAAATACAAAACTAAAACCTTTAGAGTATATTCAATGTGAGGACATTCGGTGCGTCACGAGCAGCCGACCTTCTCACCTGTATCTGACGCACAGTGTTTGTGTGGCAGGACGTGACGCCGCTGCAGATCGTGTACCCGGACACGGCTCTGCGTCTGCAGGCGCTGCTGGACTTCGAGGAGGAGGGAGGAGACAAGAGGGTGGCCGGAGACGAGTGGCTGTTCGAAGGACCAGGTACGATTTTATAAGACGCTTACTACTCTCCATACACCTGTCACACCTGGACTCAAGTCCGAGTCCGAAAGTCTCCTGACGGCTGAAGTTCGATCTGTCGAGTCGTCGGTGGAGTTTGAACCTGACAAACGTCTTGTTTCACATCTCCAGCAGCACAGAGTGAGCTGCAGGTGTGTTCTGCAGAGGTGATGGCATGTCGGCGCCTTTCAGACGTTTTGTGTTTCCGTGTGTTTGTGTGTCAGGGACCTACATCCCCAGGAAGGAGGTGGCTGTGCTGGAGACCATCAAGGCCACGGTGATCCGAGAGAACCAGGCCATCAGACTGAGAGCTCGCAAGGAGGGAGTGGACAGAGGAGGAGTCCGCCGGGTCACAGGTGAGACACGCACGCACGCACGCACGCACGCACGCACGCACACACACACACACACACACACACACACCTTCAGGCTTTTCTGCCTCATGAAACATTTGCAAGTCAAAATGTTCTGCATGTTTCATGAGGGAGGACGTCTCAGGAAGCTGCGAGTGTCAGTGTTAGTTAAAAACATGAGGTCCAAACCTCTTTCACAATCTGACGACCTCCCTGTGAAGTTCAGAGGTGAAGATGTTTATGAAAAAATAAACTGCAAATACGTCTGCAGCAGATATTCAGTTAGATTACTAACTAAATAATATATAGCACTTATTTATAGCTTATACTTTAATACTTCAGATTAATTCATGTTCATGTCATTTATTGCTTCTTCTTTAATGAAGTGTTTGTATGTGTGTGTGTGTGTGTGTGTGTGTGTGTGTGTGTGTGTGTGTGTGTGTGTGTGTTGTTTCAGGTGAGGAGTGGCTGGTCAGTAAGGTGGGAGCGTACCTCCCAGGAGCTCATGAAGAAGTCATTGACATCGTGAACGCTTTCATCCTGACTGACAAGGTGACCGCACTTTAAATGTCTAGAAGTCAAACTGCAGATCATCTTTTCTTCTTCTTCTATGTTTTATTTGAAGTGTTGATCCATCAGAAGATATAAAAACCATCTCAGTGTAGTTTTACATCTCCTCTCTCAGGCTTCTCTCTGCAGCTCTAGTAACAACAGGTCTGTGAGCCAATCAGAAGAGAGGAGGCTCTGAGCCTCTCTTCTGATTGGCTGACTGTTTTCTGAGTGATCCAATAAAAATAAAGCAGATTTCAGGTAAAAACACTCAGAGAAACCAAATCCTGCAAGGTTTGGATGGTGGGTCCAGGTGGGCGGGGCTTGGTGACTGCTTTGTTGTGACATCACAAAGTTCCAGAAGTCCTGACGGCTGGTTTTAAGGCTCAGTTTCTGAATACAGGCTGTGTGCATTTCTCTGTGGACTGAGGCTTTGATACTTTCACAGTATTAATATAGAAGCTAGAGCTGATCTATAATCACACTACACATGGACACAGACCTTTACACTGGAGGAGCTTTAAATAGGAAATCCTTGGTAGACCAGTCTACATCCCGGCCTGTGATGGATCGCGTCCTTCGAAGGATGTGGCCCCTGAATGGAGACACAGCTCATTAGTTTGTAAATGTAAACATCACATCCTGCTCTCAGAAACCTCGACAAGCCTTTATACAAGTTTTAAGAAACCAGAAAATATGGCACTGAGTTCTTTATTTCATAAATCTGATGTGGAGAAATCACCATCAGGCTCCGACAGTGATTACTCTAATTACTACAGTTTGATTCATAAAAACAAACTCAACCATGTGACTCACATGGAAAAAACTGACAGGAAACCTGGACACAGGTTTTTCTAATATAGGAAATTCAATCTGTAGCTGTGAATCAATAATATAATGATATAATTATTATAATTTAATAATTGTAAATGTTTGTGTCTCTTCAGAAAGCGCTTCACGTTCGCGCTCTCCGTCCCTTCAAAGATGCCGGCGGGCGGGACCGTCGCACCGGGGAGGAGTGGCTGGTCACCATGGCCGACAGGGAGGCTCACATCCCCTCTGTGGCGGAGGAGGTGGTGGGGGTGGTGAATGTGACCACTCTGAGCAGCAGGCAGTACTGTGTGGTCCAGGACCCGGTCGGACCGGACGGGAAGCCGCAGCTGGGCCAGAAGAGGGTGGTGAAGGTAAGGAGAACCGTCCACCCTCCATGTCGTTTGATCCGGTGTTCAGAGTATTTACTGTTTCTACTTCTTTACCTGACAACGACTTTATTGTCTGAATTTCCTCTTTGTCTCTGTTAGGGTGAGCGCTCGTTTTTCCTACAGCCCGGGGAGCACCTTGAACACGGCATCCAGGACGTTTACGTGCTGTCGGAGGAGGAGGGTCTGGTGCTGAGAGCTGTGGAGGCGTTCAACGACACCGAGCAGGTGAGGAGAGACATCAGAACTGCAGAGATCAGACCCGGTCGATTCGATCTGAACACCTGTGGGTTACCATGGTAACAGCAGGTATCTTAACACTACAGCAAACATCGGTTGAGCTGCTGCTCTGTCAGAAATCCAGCGTAGGAGCGGCTTGTGTTTCTGGTTCTAGTGCAGCCGAACAAACTCTTTTAAAAACAGTCAGAAGCAAGAAGTGTTTCTGATCGAGCACTGACTGTGACTCCTTCAAAATAAAAGAATCTTTATTTACAGTTACAGAGTTCAGCAAATTCAAATCGACAAATTATAAAATCTATTCCAGTAATCTAAGAGAAAAGAAATAAAAACACGAATAAAAGGAACAATTTAAATAAGATTAAAACAACAAACGCTCGGTCCTGTTCTGGTTCTGGTCTGTGGCTCAGCAGGTTGAGCTTTTATTGTGAAGCAGCGGTAAGAAACGTGTTAGCATTAGCATTAAAAATGAAACCATGAATAGTTTTTATTCATTCATAAATTAACCTCCAGCGGTGAATCAGATCAGGATCTGCCTTTAAACCCGCTCCTGTTCTCCTCGGTTCTGCTGCTCACAGTTCCTCAGGTCGCTCCGGCCTCTTGGAGAACCTGCTCTCGTCATGATCCGGACCGACTCCATGAAGCTGAGATCAGGTCCTGGTTCTTGTGTTTGGACTCTTTGTGGAATCTGAAAGAGCCTCAGGTCCAGAGTCTGTGGTCCTGCTGCTTTGTTTGTCGCTCACATCATTGAACTGACCCTGGATCAGCCTCGGTCATGTGACGGTTGCCAAGGTGAAGTGTGTTTAAAGTGTGACTCACTCTCTCTGTGAGGAGGTGTTGGAGAGGAGTGAAGCGAGGGAGGAGCTCTCTGTTTGCGCTCTGGTGGTTTGTGACGCCGGTTCTTGTGAAACCGGTTGATCCCAGCAGACCTCACCTTTACACACAGGTGTGTCGGGACAAAAGAAAAGCTGCAGCACATCTGAGCCGGGTGAGAAGTCAGAGGCGTCTCCGTTCAAAGTCTGCGACTCCGCCCTGCGTCACTGATTGGCGTGGTGGGGTGTGGTCAGAGCTGGAGGTTATCACAGGTACAGAGGGGAGTGGATCCGGCTGAGAAGAGGTCAGAGGTCAGCTCTCTGGAGCTGGAAGCTTTATTATACAGGTAGACGTCTACATTTTTAATATTTGTAAGAAACCCGAATTTTAACAAATAAAAATGTTGCAGGTAAAAAGGATTCAAACGTGAGGAAACGCAGTGAGACTGAAAACACAAGCATGTGACCATTCACCTGCACTGAGCATGTGCGAGCCGGTGTAAACAGGAAGGAGCAGTTGCTTAGTTACAGGAAGAGGAACAGCAAAGACAGATGAGCGTTGAAATGCAGAATTTAACTTTGTGGCTTTCAAACAGGAAATATCAGACAAAGACTCTCACCCAGGGGCCCCGGACCCCTCGGGGCCTCAGCCGGGGCCCCGGAGTTTATATTCATTACACTGTAAAAAAGACTGTCATCAACTGTCCAGCAGAGGAAGGAAGCCCAGAGGGGCCATTTAAACAATACAACATCAAACAGGCAAAAACATGTAGAGTAGGAAAATGAATAAAGTGATAATAATAATAATAATAATAATAATAAATCAAGACAGAAGTTTGAACATTTTAAATGTGCCAGAGACGTAATACAGAACCCACAGTGACACACACTTCTATTTAGATAAAATATATTTTTAAGTAAATGAGTGAATTCTATAAACAAGAAGAACGACAATCAATCAATCAATCAATCAATCAATCAATCAATCAATCAATCAATCAATCAATCAATCAATCAATCAGTGAGTGAATCTGAGACAGAAAGTTTGAACTGAAACAAACTCAGATTCACATTTACAGAATAAATGAACTTATAAATATATAATGGACGTTCAGCTGAGGTCCAGAGTTTAACCTGACTCACCATCGTCACCATGGTAACAGGGTGACCACAGGTGTTTCTCACAAGAACAGGAAGTGGATCTTTCTCTGTGTCATCCTCCCTTCCTAACCTGGCTAACCCATTATACCCCCACTCTCTTCTTCTTCTTCTTCTTCTTCTTCTTCTCTCCCTTCTTTCCTGCATGTCTCACCCCCCGCCGCCCACGTCCTCTCCCGACGCCACGATCGCTCATTGCCACACCCTCCACTCTTTACGTTCACCTCCTCCTTTGTTTTCTGGGTTTTATTTTGCTGTCAGTGCCTCTCTCCGATCCCCTCTCCCCATCCTCCCCCTCCTCCCCCTCCTCCCCCTCCGCTCCAATGCATCGCCACATTAACCCTTCTCTCCGTCCTCCTCCTCTCTCTCCCCCGCTCTCTCTGCCAGCGCGAGGAGGAGGAGGAAGAGGAGGAGGAGCAGATGCAGGAGAGGGCCAAGCGCTCTCGGAGGAGCGGGGTCCTCCGTCGCCCTGGAGACCGCTGGATGCTGCGCGGCCCCATCGAGTACGTCCCCCCCGCCACCGTGGAGGTGATGCTGAGGCGCCAGGCCATCCCGCTGGACGAGAACGAGGGCATCTACGTCCGAGACATCAAGACTGGAAAGGTAGGGTCACCTGTCAGCAGGTGTGTGGGCGCAGAGCTCTGTAGAGGATCCTAACTCCTCCTCCCTCTCAGGTGCGTGCGGTGATTGGCCACACCTACATGCTGACTCAGGACGAGGAGCTGTGGCAGAAGGAGCTTCCTTCTAACGTGGAGGCGCTGCTGGCGTCTCCTCTCGACCCGCTGGCCAACCGCTCGGACCGCACCGCGACCGGAGACAGCCGGCCCCGGGACAAGACCCGGGTCGTGTCCTACAGGGTCCCCCACAACGCCGCAGTCCAGGTGTACGACTACCGGGAGAAGAAAGCCAGGTGGGACTCCGGTTTCTGGCTTTGATGGGGGGGTGTGGAGGTTTAAATAAACCAGCTGACGTGGCGGTGGGGGTGTGGTCTGTCCTCAGGGTGGTGTTCGGTCCAGAGATGGTGATGCTGGGACCTGACGAGCAGTTCACCGTGCTGTCGCTGTCCGGAGACAAACCGAAGAGAGCCAACGTCATCAAGGCCGTCTGCCTCCTGCTGGGGCCCGACTTCTTCACCGACATCATCACCATAGAGACGGCCGACCACGCCCGCCTGCAGCTGCAGCTGTCCTACAACTGGTAACCAATCAGGATACAGCTGCATTAAACAGCAGAGTCTGATGAGTCAACGCTTCCTGTTTTCACAATAAAAGTCTAATAAAAGAGATAATGACGCTGAAGTGTTAAAAGCTTTTAATGTGAAACATCTGCACTGTAAAACATCTGTCCACAGGCTTCTTTTATCAAAGAACCAGATGTTTTCTGACACAGATGTTCATCCTTGTGAGATGTAGGAGAATCACAGCAGAAGAAGAAGCCTGTGGACAGACACTTCACACACCTTTACACCTGCTGCTACTTTACAGCCCGACCTCTGACCTCTGACCTCTGACCTCTGACCTCTGACCTCTGACCTGAGCGCCTCTCTCTCCTCAGGCACTTCGATGTGAAGTCTCCAGTGGACTCTGCTGTTGCAGCCTCTCTCTTCTCAGTCCCGGACTTCGTGGGAGACGCCTGTAAAGCCATCGCCTCCCGGGTCAGAGGAGCCGTCGCCTCCGTGCAGTTCGATGATTTCCACAAGGTTTGTATTTCACTGTCCTCGTCTTCCTCGTCTTCCTCGTCTTCCTCGTCTTCCTCGTCAGCGTTTAAATTTAGAAAGAAACAGATTCGTTCATGAATCTCTTCTTGTTTTTTTTCTGTGCAGAACTCGAACCGGATCATCTGCTCGGCGGTGTTTGGCTTCGACGAGAAGATGGCGGTGCGTCCGAGTCTTCGCTTCAACCAGAACAACCTGGTGATCAGCAGCGTGGACATCCAGTCTGTGGAGCCCGTCGACCAGAGGACACGAGACGCCCTGCAGAAGAGTGTGCAGCTCGCCATCGAGATCACCACCAACTCCCAGGAGGCCGCCGCACGGTCCGACACACACACACACACACACACACACACACACACACACACACACACACACACACACACACACACACACACACACACTAGGTTTAGCCACCAGCTGTGGAATCAAATGGGTCGTACAGTATAATGTTACGTTTATAAACGTTAATAAAAGTGATTCCTGAAGTTTCTCTTAAAGCTCCTCCAGTGTAAAGGTCCGTGTCCATGTGTAGTGTGATTATAGATCAGCTCTAGCTTCTATATTAATAGTCCACAGAGAAATACTGTAAATGAACAAAACTAAATCTTGATCTGCTCTCCAGTGTTTTCATTCCTACTGAATAAAAAGAAGAAACACAAACTGAGGAAACAAAGCGAGTTAGAAACACGTCGATCAACAGTTTCAATAATTCCAACTGGTTTAATAAGGAACTTGTTCTCAGTACGTCGTGTAGGTCAAAGGCCGGTTAAAATGCAGTGAATAAGAAACGTCTCACTGTATCTTTGTAAGGATGTTTCCAGTTTCATGAGGTTTCCTCCGTGCAGACACGAGGCGGAGCGTCTGGAGCAGGAGGCCCGGGGCAAGCTGGAGAGACAGAGGATCACCGACCAGGCCGAGGCCGAGAGAGCCAGGAAGGAGCTGCTGGAGCTGGAGGCTCTCAGGTGACTCACATGGCTTTAACTTCACACTGTGTCACTAACACTTCTTCACAGACGCACTGTAGAGGCATCCTGCTCTCTGACAAACAGCCAGGACACGACCTCCAAGGAAAGAAGAAAATAGATTTCAGACTGAAGTTACTCTGAGGCCTTGAAGAGTCAGGAAGTGACAGTTTGTTCATTTCCAGATGAGCTGCGTTTATGTCCCCCTGCTGCCTGTTAACCTGTGTGTGTGTGTGTGTGTGTGTGTGTGTCAGTGCTGCGGTGGAGAGCACAGGAGCTGCGAAGGCCGAGGCTCAGTCTCGGGCGGAGGCGGCTCGTATCCAGGGAGAGGCGGCGGTCAACGAGGCCAAACTGAAGGCTGAGGCTCAGAGGATCGAGGCGGTACGTCCTGACACCCTGGTCCTGAGTCCAGACCTCATGTCTGCAAGGGAAAATGACATGCTTATATATGTGTGTGTGTGTGTGTGTATGTGCGTGCGTGTGTGTGTGTGTGTGTGTGTGTGCGTGCCTGCGTGCAGGAGGCGGAGCTGCAGCGGCTGGCGAAGGCTCGTGAGCAGGAGCTGGGCTACAAGAAGGAGATGGACCGACTGGAGGTGGAGAAGCAGGAGCGTCTGGCTCAGATCGAGAGTCAGAAGTTCGGTCAGCTGGTGGAGAGTCTGGGCAGCGACACGCTCAAGGAGATGGCCAGAGCCGGGCCGGAGCTGCAGGTACTGCACTACTACTACTAGTACTACTACTAGTACTACTACTAGTACTACTACTACTGCTACTGGTGCTGAGGAAGACACAAAGACTTTATTTAAAATACAAACAGCTCTGCCTTTAGTTTTCGTACTCTCACCTCTAAACTTCAACTGATCTGAGGTGGAGCATGTTCAAGACGTGCGACATGTTCACACGAAAAGTTAAACGCACATAATTTAAACTGCTTTTAGTGACAGTTGTTAACTGGTTGTGACGGACTGTCAGAAGTCTCGTCTGTCACAAAGCAGTTCTTGTGAACGTCTCAAAGATGTTCAGTTTGCTGTGATAGAAAACAGAAGATAGTCAGAACACGAGCTCCACTTGTTTAGTCCATCCTGTTTCTGATTGGCCGGTTCTTCTTCCGCCCGCAGAGCTACACCTTTCAAAACACTCAGTGTAACTGAAGACGTTCACAGAGCTTCAGTTCAGAAACTTACAGTCCGTCTCTGCTCCTCCAGGTCAAGATGCTCCAGGCTCTGGGGCTGAAGTCCACCCTCATCACAGACGGGTCGTCGCCCATCAACCTCTTCACCACAGCCAACGGCCTGCTGGGGGCGCTGCAGGGACCGGGCCAGAGCCAGTGAAGTGGAGGAGAAGAAGCAGATGAAGAAATGGAAATGTCCAAAAGTAAACCTCAACAGATGCTGATGACACTGACGACACTGTCATCTGACACACGCACACTTCGGTCACATGAGTTTCTGAGGCCGATGTTAAAGCAATTAAACTTCTGCAGATAAAGATTTACTTCATGGGTTTGTTACAGAGCCACTAAAATGTCCAGCTACACCTCTGTAGAGGTTGGCAGACTCAACTTCGAGTCATCCCCGTGTGGCACTATAATAAAACCAGAGAGCGCATCTTTAATCTTTAAAATCAACCTTTGCACAAAGTCTGGAGGTTCCCCCAGATTTTAGGGGGAAATAAAACGGCCTGGGAGAATCACTGTACATGGAGATTGCAACAGTACATTCTGTCCAGTGTGTTAACAGCTTTACAAACATAGATGTTCAATACAATAGTGATTATTAAACCTTTTACTGAGCAACTTTCATTGTACGAGAATTTGTTGTGGGTGACAGACTGTTTATATGATGGATATTTTAGGTGTGTAAAACACTTCTGGAATCAACGTCCTGTTCATTGTCAGACGATGGAAAACGTGACAGTTTGGGTCAGGAAGATGAGTTTCTGACACAATGTCTGTAAATAATCTAAAACTCTGGTTGTACATCAGCCTTTGTAAACCTGTGAAGAAGTCTCATTTCAAGTAGTTTATATTCTTTCATTTCTTTACTTCAATTCACAAACTCAAACTTTTTCTGACCCTTTTTTAATCCCATTGTTTCAAACATCTGGACAGGAGATGAACAACTGTGTTAAAACATCTGGTTCTTTGATACGAAGTCAGAATTTTAAGCTCTGTGATTGGATATTTTTCAGTGAAATGCACCCTGGGAGTTGTAGTTGACCTCTCTCCTTGTGGCTTTGGATTTTTAATCGGAGAACCAGATGTTTGCTGACACAGATGTTCATGTTTTGTCCTCCAGCTGTGACTCATGTAACACTGACACATTTAATGTAAAACACCTTCCTCTTCACAACTCTGTGATGACGATGACACGTTAAAGCTTCCACTGACAAACTGACAAAATCAAATGAACTGCTTCCTGTTTAATGAACTGTAAATGTTTCTGCTGACCTCCAGTGGCTGAAGTGAAGACATGAAATAGAACTCACCTGTAATCACACCAACATGACTTTAGGTGTGATTACAGGTGAAACCTTCAACCAGAGGAGCTCAGTAGAACAGTCTTTATCAGTCTGATGTTGTGTTACTCTGTCAAGATGCTGTTTCTTTAACTATAGGTTCTTCTCTTAGGGGAACTGAGATTCAGAGGTTTACTTTTGGACAGGTGACTTGTGTCTGTGAAAGAATCTGTACTGCTAAGGAAGAAGAATTGTGCCTACAAACAAACAAACTTAACAGTTTGCTTAGTTGTGTAACCTGACAACCGAAGAATTCTGCATCTGCTTTGCACTATGTCCGCTAAAAGTAGAAATGCTGAAATGCAGAAAATGCTGATGTTTACATATTCAATATTAAACCTTTCTGTTTCTGTTGAAATAAGATGAATGTTGTTGATCTGCCTTCCTCTGCCTAAAAAAGTTCTGTTGTTACTGCAGAAAAAAACTGTGTGAAGCCATTAAAGTGCTGCTGCGGAAAACGTTTGTCTCTTTTGTTGTGCTGACGTCATCACACACATCTTCATACGATAATATGACGTTTATGCCTTATTATACTATGAGGTTTTATGACTTTTTATGCCTTACTATACTATGACTTTTTTAGACATTTTTATGCCTTATTACACTATGACATTTTTATGACTTTTTATGCCTTACTATACTATGACTTTTTTTTGACTTTTTATGCCTTACTATACTATGACTTTTTTTTGACTTTTTATGCCTTACTATACTATGACTTTTTTATGACTTTTTATGTCTTACTATACTATGACTTTTTATGCCTTACTATACTGTGACTTTTTTTTTACTTTTTTATGCCTTACTATACTATGACTTTTTTTTTACTTTTTATGCCTTACTATACTATGACGTTTTTATGACTTTTTATGGCTTACTATACAATGACTTTTTATGCCTTACTATACTATGACGTTTTTATAACTTTTTATGCCTTACTATACTATGACTTTTTTTTGACTTTTTATGCCTTACTATACTATGACTTTTTTTTGACTTTTTATGCCTTACTATACTATGACTTTTTTATGACTTTTTATGCCTTACTATACTATGACTTTTTTATGACTTTTTATGCCTTACTATGGTATAGGCATAAAAAGTCATTAAAGCAGTCACTTTATAATAAGGCATAAAAAGTCATAGTATAGTAAGACATAAAAGTCATAAAACGTCATAGTATAGTAAGGATAAAAAGTTATAAAAGTCATAGTATAGTAAGGCATAAAGTTATAAAACGTCATAGTATAGTAAGGCACAAAAAAAGTCATAGTATAGTAAGGCATAAAAGTCTAAAAACGTCATAGTTATAGTAAGGCATAAAAAACGTCATAGTATAGTAAGAGATAAAAGCTAAAAAAAAAGTCATAGTATAGTAAGGTAAAAAGTCATAAAAACGTCACAGTATAGTAAGGCATAAAAATCATATGTATAAGAAAAGAATAAAACAGTCATAAAAAAGTCATAGTATAGTAAGGCATAAAAAAGTTTATAAAAAACGTCATAGTATAGTAAGGACCTAAAAAGTCATAGTATAGTAAGGCATAAAAAGTATAGTATAGTAAGGAATAAAAAGTCATAAAAAGTCATAGTATAGTAAGGCATAAAAAGTAAAAAAAAGTCATAGTATAGAGTAAGGCATAAAAAGTCATAAAAAAAAGCTCACAGTATAGTAAGGCATAAAAAAATCATAGTATGATAGAAAGACATAAAAAGTTCATAAAAACGTCATAGCTTAGTAGAATGTGCTAAGAAAGTTATAACAACGGAGTATAGTATAGTGATAGTGTTTTGTATATTTTTTTTATATATTATTTGTATTGTTATTATTTATTGATTTGTTTTATTATATATTTAGTATTATTTCTTCATATTTTTATATATAATATTATTATTGTCTATATAATGATGTATTTGTGTATTATATTAGTTATAAAAAAGTTCATGTAATAGTAAGGTACAAAAAAAGCCATAGTAATATGTGAGAGCGGCAAGTCATTGAGAAAATAAGGCATAAAGAAAGTCATCAGTGAGTTAATAGGTAAGTGCATAAAAAAGTCATTGTTACTGTAAGGCAATAAAAAGATAAAAAAAGTCATAGTATGTAAGGCATAAAAGTCATAAAA